CTGCCGTGGGAAAGGTTGGACGACTCTTGTGGGAGTTCAAGGAAGCTTTGCTTGGCAGGAACATGGAGATAACATTCCCGTCCCAAAGTGTCTGTCTGTTGTGTGCTGAACCTTTTGGAAAATTTGGGAGAGTTGGGGTTCCCTCTCAAGGCACTAGTGCAGAATGCAGGAGATCCTCTTTCCCCAGCGTTTGATCTGTTTTGTCTGTACTCTGTGAGATCAGGAGAGGAAGGTGAGAGCTTTGGAGGAGGTGCCCTGGGTCCTCCAGCCTTGCTGTCACTGCCACCTCTCCTGGAAATCCTCCTCCCTTGGGCACCCTTTGGCACTGTGGCATCATCCTTGGGGCACCAAGTGCATGTGCCCTGTAGAAAATCCAGCCCATCTCTCCTTGGGATGTGCCAACTCCTCTGGATGTGGCTTTCTCACAGCTGTCCTGGCTCTTCTGAGGCCCTCAGTGCTCCTCCATCCCTCCTTCCCCCTTCATCAAAAGCCCCTGAACTGTTCCTACCTGCAGATCCTCCATGCCCTGAGCCCTTGGCTCCAGCCTGGAATTCTTGTTGGATTTTATGGAATTCTTTCAAGGTTTCCCTTCACACCCCTCCTTTTATGCAGGTCCCTCTTTCACCATCTTACCCTGCTCACCCAATCCCTGACAGCAGCTGTGATGCTGCCATGCCCTGACCCCTGATTGTTTGGTTATTCCCTGCTTCCACAGGGATTTTTCCCCTGTTTTTCCCTTCATCCTCTTCCCCAAGGACCTCACAGTTCTCACTGTGGGAAGTCCCTGTCCCAGCCACAGCAAGCACAGGTGGTTCTGGGTTCATTTCTGAGCATTTAAATATTCAACTCCAAAGCTTTTATCAACACATCAGATCCTCCTGGTGAGGGGGAATGTGGTGGGGGGTTCCTGGGGCACAGAATTGTGTCATTTCAGGAAAACCAGGGGTGCTGCTGTTTGCCATGTTGGTGGCTTTGGCATCTTGCTTCTGAGCTGTGCTGGTCCCAGGCAGAGCTTCCCAAAGGAATGTTCCTGCTAGGACATCCTCCTGAATCTTCACCTTTGGGAAATGCCTGGTGGGAATCCGAGTGTCCCTGCAGGAGGGTTTGCTCAGAGGGTTTAAGTGTGAGTTAAACACATCCATAGGCTCTGAAATGCCATTTTTGTTGGTGCCATTGTGCCTGCTTTGGAGCGGGCTCAGCTCTGCAGTTTCCTCTTTGCCCACATTTCCTCATGATTTAAGCTGAGAGGAGCTGTTCACTCACTGGGTACATCCCATTGCACCCAGAAACACTTGCTTTTCTCTGTGCATCATGTCCACAGCCTTCCTCTGGAGCCAGCATTCCTCCTGTATGATGTGGGGGTATTTTGGTTTATAACTTGTGCCTCTAACTTGGCTCTGTATGGTCAGCATCAGGCTGGAGCCCTGCTCCAGATTTCCCTCTGCTGTGTAGATCCTGGATCATTTAAATCAAAGGTTTAGAATTCTTTAAATCAAAGGTTTAGAATTCTTTAAATCAAAGGTTTGTAATTCTTTGTATCAAAGATTTAGAATTATTTGAAATCTATTTTATGTTATTAAGATGTGGAACCACTGCTGTCTGCTGGTGAAACATCTCTGGGATGGAGGGTGAGCAGCAGGAGAATTGCTGGGTTTAACTAAATCACAGCAGCCCCGTTCCAGTGGGATGATGATGTGAGAGATTATTGAGGCTGGCATTTTGGGGAGAGCTGGCTGCAGATTGTTTTGGAGCAGCAGGCAGAGTGCAGCCCTGCTCCAGCTGAATTCCCAGCCCTCAGGGCAGAGCAGAGCACTGTGTGCTCCAGAAAACCCATCTCAGCCTGTCCTGTCAGCATGTTCAGGGCACAGGTTGTGAGCAACAGGTTCTGCTCATAAATCCTTGGCTTGCTGAGTCTG